AGAAGAATATTTAAAGTTCAAGATTAAGGTGTTAATAAATGTGATTCTTTGCGATGGAAATTTCATGAATATTGAGAAATTATTAAAATATTTGAAGAGAATATGTAATTCTTTGTGATGGTTGATATTTGATGGATATTGTTATCAGATTTTTGTAACCAGGAAGAATTATAATCACCGTTTCAATTTATTTCAATAATTTACTTTAGATTTGAAAGTCTAAATAATTTTTTAATAGTACGTTTGTTACTCAAAACGAATAATAATTTTCAAAGATTCATGATCATCCATTGTATTGTATAATAATCTTTAGACTTTACTCAAACCAATTAGCCATTCCTTTTTCCAATAATAAAAAGGTAATTAAAAATACAAATTCACGTAATCGAACAGATCTTCTTTTCTATTTGCCCTCTAAAAAAAAAGAAAAGAAAAAAATAAGAAAATATATACATTTCCAAGTAATCGAACACAACGTTTGACAGTTCCTCCTCTTTGAAAAACAAAAAACACTGCCGAATAAACGAGTGGAGAATTACAGGAGGACACTGACCTCGCAGAAAACCGAATTTTGAGGGGAAAGAATTTTAACACGATCCCGTCAAGTGTTTCCTTAAAAGATCGTTAATCAATTGTGGGAACAAGAAAACGAGCACCAAAAACTCTCTAATTCCGTGGCACCCGGGTGCAAAACGTTTCCTCGAGCCGCCTTCGTTACCCCGCCACTAGAGCAAAGATTAACTTTTCATTAAGCGGAGGAACCTGGAAAGAGAGAGAGAAAGAGAAAAAACATCCTGATAACTTATTCTCGAGTAATAAACCTTCAGTCTCAGAGAAATCTGGCCGAGTTTAACAAAAAAAAAAAAAAGAGAATCTAAAAAAAGAAGAAGAATGGAAGTGCAAAAGACGCATTAAAAAAAAGAGGAGTGAAAAATTTTCTGGATTTTTTTTTTTTTTTTTTAAACTAAGAGAGAAATCGTCGATAAGACGCGGACAGAGATTCGAGATTTCGCAAGATTTTTGCGGCCAACTACGCTAAATATAAAACCGTTTGGGCGGAAGCTTCCACTTCCGACGACGCGTTATGAACACGTCGAACAGCGTTCAACAACGTGTCTCTATTATTCCCGTCCGACGTTCTAATTGCGACGCGGCCAATCGTCGCGGACCCCATTGCGACTCGAATCGAGAGAAGGGAGTGGGATCTTAACTGGCTGTGAAAATTTATGGTAATCACCCAGGGACGACACCTAGCGTGGCGCTCGTGAACAATGTGCGCGACAGAAGTTTTGACAGTTGAAAGTGCTCGAGATACCAAAAAAAAAAAAAAAAAAAAAAAAAAAAAAAGAATTACACAGAGCACAAATCGAAATTAAAATTAAAACGTTACATCGAATTTTGTGAATCGAAGTGAGTCCACAGCAAGATACGTAGAAATTTTCTTCGAAACTGTTGAATCTCCCTTTCTCTCAATAAGGCGATAAGAATAGTAATAGAGCGAACAAGTTTCTCTCCAAAGATCGAGCAAAGTTGATGGAAAACCGTATACGAAGAGTGTTAGAGACACGGTTTTCTTTTAAAACGGGGATGGGCAACGGTGATTCCTATATAGATCGTCCCTGCCGGCGTCGGGTCTTGTATATTTACGCATACCGTGGGTCTCGACGTAACGCAGGACGGCACCGCGCCGCGACGCTTTTCGCGTCCCGCTGTATATTTCTTCAAGCACGCACACAAGACGCAGCGCCGCGTCGCGAGCCAGCTCGAACGACGCCACTCACGAAATTCGAGGCGAGCGCCGCGCGTTATTTTTCGCATCGACGCATCGACGCCGCGGCGGGCCGACCGACGCAAAGCCCGAATACGAGTTTGTAACACGAGATGTGACCGCCATTTTGTCCTTTGTCGCGATTCCTTTGTTTTTCTTTTTTTTTTTTTCTAACGATATCGTTTTCTTTGGTTATTCTCTTTCGTTTCGACGAAGAGTTTCACTTCGTTGTGTTCGAGGATTCCTAACCTCTTTTTCTTAGGTTACTCTTGCAATTATAGTCTTTCTCGTTTTGTTTATTGGACAACTACTGGACTTTCTTTTTTTTCTCTTTATTACGAGAATCGTTTCGGTTCCTAACCTCTTCGAGTCTACCATTTTCTTAGTGAGTTTGATTTTTTTTTCCTCTTCTTTTCGTGGATCGTTGCAAGTTGTTAAGTTATCGACTTTTTAATTTGAGAAAATTCTTTCTTCTTTTGATAAGTTATAAGTATTAGACAATTGTTTTTTTTTTTTTTGCAGAATTTTAAATACATATTTTGTAAAATATTTTTGGAAAACACGTTTCAATTTCGTTCGATCTCTCGTTCATAACGTTGCATAAACATTGCACGAATATTCGGTAGGAGAGAGGAAAAAAAAAAAAAAACGAAGGAATCTTAATTTAAACTTTTTGAACCGAAACAGACGAGTCTCGGTTGTAAACATTCTCTCCGGAGCCGAACTTCGAGATTTCCCAAGATCCTATTAAACTATTGGAACCCGTTGTAATTCTGTAATTCTCAATTCTTCTTAAAAAATTAATCGTTCAAGTATATAAGAATATAATAAACGATCGTGACCCACTCTGATCGATCATTGTTAAAAAAAAAAAAAAAAAAAAAAAAAAGAACGATCAATGAATGGAACAAGTGACTGTCGCGAGCAAGAAACGCGAAAAGAGAAAACTTCGACCTTAACGCGCGGATCTCGATTCTCTGAATTCTTCTGTCCGACAATGACAAGGAGGAAGCGGGGAAAATACGAAACGACGGAAATCGCCGCTTTCCTTATTCCTTATGCGCGCGTCAAGTTGTGTTTTCTAGAATCGAAAAAAAAAAAAAAAGAAAGAAAAGAAACGAGAGACGATTTCTTTGAATTAACGACGCCTTATGGCCATCGAGACTTTAATGAAGAAAATAATATATCGCGTATAATAATTATACGTGTCGCATGAACAGAAGCCAGAAGAAATTTATAATAGTAGGAAAGTATTTTCTTTTTTTCTGTATTTTTGCTATTAGAGAGCTCCCTTCCAATCTTCTTCCGTCTCTCATTTATTTTATTTCTTCTTGCGTTGCTGTTTCTGGATGTCGGTTATAAGAACACCTCTCACGAACAGGAGAGGTGTTCCTCCTTCTTCTTTCAACGCGTGACTTTTCATGCGTGAAATACTCATTAGGCACTTGGTCTCACTAACGAATCAATTAGCAGGATTCTTTGTTTTTCTTCTTCTTCTTCTTCTTCTTCTTCTTCTTTGCTCTCTTAATTTCTTCTCTTAATTTTTTTCGAGGAATAAAAGGGTAATTCAGATTTGACCTAAAGGCACTACTCGATAATAGATATGCCAGTTATGTTGGAAATGTATATTATTTACATTTGCCTTAAAAATTAACTGGAAATCTAATTTGGAGAAGAAAGAAGTGATTTCCTAAAGAGGAGGTATTTTAACACTTTGAATTTTTCGTTTCGCCTTTCTCCTTCTCGACATTTACTTACGTTACAAATTGCAGTTACAATTATTTATTTATTTTTTTTATATTTATCCTTTCTGACGACCAACAGCTGATCACGAATAGTACGAAGAATGATCAATTATTCTTTTTAATTTTATCCGAAATTATCACAATTATTAAAGTTGATTGAATTCGTACTTTTGATCCAATACGTAATATGTACAATATATGATAATCCATGAAAAAGTGGAAAGCATCGTTTCGACAATCTTGCAATCGAAGATATTCCAATCTCGTCCACGATATCGCTTGCAACGACATTAAACCCGGTTCGTTATCGTTAACGAGCGGGATTGCCCGGTCGGTAATTCCGTTCCCTCATTAATCGAGATCGATTCAACGCGCGCAACGTTTCGCCGCGACAACTCGCCTAGAACTAATTGCGCTAAAGAGAATAAATTAGTTCGTTTGTCCGCCGATTCTATTCTTATTAATCGAGGCACGATTACGTAAGGCGGCCTTCCACGTTTCGCTAATAAAAAGTTTTATCTTTTTTTCTTTTTTTTTTTCTTTCTTTACCGGAATTATTATTATTATTGTTATTATTATAAGGTTTCACGTTGCAATTAGGAGGAGAGATACTCGTCCGTCTTTTTCTTCCTCTTTTCAACATCGAGAAGCGGTAAATTTGACTCGAAGCGGATTAATTGATCGATGGCTGATCATATCGGTACGCGACGTTGATTTTTGAAACGCTTCGTTGCACGAGCGGCCTTGACACGCAAACGGGTTTTTACGGGTTCCGTGATTTTTCCTCTTTCGAAGGTGGTTGACGTCACAGGTGACGCTCTCTTTTTTTCGAATCTTAATGAAAAAAAAAAAAAAAAAACGAAAAAAAATTGATCGAGATGCATCATATATATAAGAAAAGAATACGTTTAATGTTATTCCAATATTACGGATACGATTTATAACGAGCCTTATGTACGAGTTTTTTTTTACATTTTTTCGTTTCTTTCCTACCTTTAAAATCGCGTTGTTATTTCTACGACGAAAACAATTTCTACAAAGAGAATTCTATAAAGAGAAATTCTATAAAGAGCGCGGCTGTTTTTCTGTTAAACTCGTAAGAGGGAGTCGTAAGAGGATGCGGAACGACTTCCGCCACGTTGCGTGCGGCACGTAGCTAATCTTTAATTCGTTACACCGCTTTCACGGATTTTAACGCTATTGCGGTATAATTGTCACGCGTTTATCGTCGGCTGTAACTTTCTTTTTCGCCGATTTTAATCTCTCTCCCTTAATAAAAAATCCCTTCGATACCGTAGAACACAGAATTTACTACGAATAACAAATAATCAAATCTTTCTCAACGCGCGACCGGAGAAATTACATTTCTTACTTTCTCCGCGATTTTACGCGGCGATTACGACTCCCAAAAAATACCCCTCCCCCCTGGATGGTAAAAAAAAAAAAAAAAAAAAAAAAAATGAGAAAATGGATTTTGGTGTGCGCAGGATTCGCAGAACGGCCCGGTGCTGGACCGATGGAGCATCTGCTCTCCTGAAGAGGAGCCGCTGGTACTGCAGCAGTTCCTCAGATTCGCCGAGACGCGCCCGTTCGTGCAGCAGTTGCTGCTGGCCGCCGGGACGCCGGGGACGGATGCTATGTCACCGAGCAGACGACCTTCGCCTCCGACGATGCCGCTAGCACACCTACCACCGCCGCTACACCTGCTCCACTGCGGCCTCCCGCCCCCGGGCTCGAGGTTGCCGCCCCCTCTGCCTCCGCCGCCGCCGCCCTCCGTCTCGCATCCCTCCATGTCGCCGACCGCCCAAAAGCACTACTCCACCTCGGCCACGGCCGGCGCGGGGGTGACCGCCGCAGCCGCCGCAGCCGCCGCCGCCGCCGCCAACTCGCCGCCCACCACAGGACTCGACTCCCATCTCACCGTGTCGCCGCTCAACCGGCTCCAAAGCATGCAGCCGTTCGACTTCCGCAAGCTGGGCACCCTCGGCCTGCCCGCCTTCCCGCCTATACCGCCGCCCCCGCCGCCCCCGCCGCCACCGCCGCCGCCACCCGCCGACCAGTTGCTCCAGAACACCCGCAAGTCCATGAGGAACCCCCAGAGCCCGCACAGCCCGCCCCACCACCACCACCCCCCCGCCAGCCAGCTCCAAAGGCCCCACATCCCGCCCGTGGCCCCCGTCTCCTCCTCCGCCCTCAACTTCGGCCACCCCCTCTCGGTCGCGGTTTCCTCGGGCGCCCTGCCCCCCACTTTCCCCGCGCACTTCCCACCGCCGCCGATGGCCACCAAGTCCTCGGTCGCACCCTCGATAACCGGCCCCCCCTCCGACGTGCACAGCGGGGGCGAGAAGAGCAGCGAGTTCGGGTCGGAGGAGGACGAGGAGGACGACGAGAACTCGGACAGCGCGCTCAACCTGAGCAGACGCGATTGCCAGAAGCAGCAGCAGCAGCAAGTACAGCAACAGCAGCACGGGGGCGGCACGGGGGCGGTGGGGCCCGAGGCCCACAGACACCACCCGCCCCTACCTCTGCAAGCCGCCCCGCTGGGCAGGCCGCCAGGGATCCCCGGCAGGAAGCCCCACTCGCCCGGCAAGAGACCGGGGGGCCAGTGGGGGGCGACCGGCAACATACCCCCCAACCTGGGCACCCCGTTCATCAACCCGACCACGGGCAAGAAGAGGGTGCAGTGCAACGTTTGCCTGAAGACGTTCTGCGACAAGGGGGCGTTGAAGATCCACTTCAGCGCTGTTCACCTGCGCGAGATGCACCAGTGCACGGTGAAGGGGTGCAGCATGATGTTCAGCTCGAGGAGGTCGCGCAACAGGCACAGCGCCAACCCTAACCCCAAGTTGCACTCGCCTCACCTGAGGAGGAAGATCTCCCCCCACGATGGCCGCTCCTCCATGGCGCACGCGCTCGTACTCCCGCCTCAAGTCGGCCTCCCCGTCCCCGCCACAGGCCTCAACCACCTACCCTTCGGCTCCTTCCCCCTGCTCACCCCGCCCCCGGACCTCCGCTCCCCCGCCTCCCTCTGCGGCCTCGACTTCAAGCACCTCGACCTGCAATCGGCCCAGGGGGGCGGCGGCAGGCCGCCCGCCTACGAGGACGCCTCCCCCCTCCAGCAGGCAAGGATGACCGCGAGCCAGGGGGGCGGCGGCGTCCCTGCGATCCCTCCGGGATCCGGGATCGGCCAGGACGCGGGGAACAACCCCGTGGTCCCCGTGGCGAGGGGGTCGTTCTCGAGCAACAGCGCGGCCGACGCGGTGTCGCCCTCGACCCAGGCCTCGACCGCCGCCGCGGACGGCGAGGAGGAGGAGGAGGACGAGGAGGGGGGCAGCATCGTGGTGGTGGCCGAGGACGAGGCCAGCAACCTGCTTCCGCCCACCGCCGCCGCCACCACCACCACCACCACCTCCTCCTCCTCCTCCTCCTCCAGGCTGCTGCCGCCCCATCGCCCGGGCGAGGAGGAGGAGGACGAGCAACCGGCCGACTTCAGCCTTGCCAAGAGACCCAAGTTGTACAACTTCGGGGGGACGGATGGCCGGCTAGGGGACGAGGATATGGCGAGCAACGGGGGGGACAGCAACCTCGAGGACAACGACTCGACGACGGCGATCGATCGCTACCACCACCACCGCCACCATCACCACCATCACCACCACCACCACCATCACCACCACCACCGCTCCGTCAACCATAGCTCGGCCTCGGTGCACAGCAGGGGCGTGAGGAAGAGGAAGTCGCAGCACCCGACCAGGTGCGCTGTACTCACCGAGGTACACTCGTCGTCCACGGACGGGGACTCGTCCAACGACGAGGAAAGGATGCGTTCCCTGTCCGAGGGAAACGCGGGCACCAGCTGCCCGATGAACGAGCAGTTCCAGAGCCAGCCCGAGGACATGTCGATGTCGAGACTCGGCGAGAGGAAACCCTCCACCTCGGCGCCCGGCTCACCCAAGAATCTCGCGGGGGAGCGATCCAACGACCGCGAGTCGTGCCCCCGCTCCCCCGCGGACCCCTGCCGGAAGCGCGAGAACGAAGAAGCGGGCGAGGAGAAACGGGAGCGGAAAGAGGAGGGGGAGGAGGAGGATCTACCTCAGGACGAGCCTCGGGATCTGAGCTCGAGAGCGAGCAGCGTCAAGTCGCCGAAGAGGCAGATCAGTCCGGAGCCAAAGACGACGAGCCACGAGGCGGCGGCCAACGAGAGCGCCTCCAACTGCGGCGTCGGGTCGTCGCGGGCCGAGTGCGAGGAGGCGATGAAAAAGGAGGGGAAGGAGGAGGAAGAAGAGCAAGAGGAAGAGGAGGAGGTGGAGGAGAAGTCGACGACTACAACGACGACTACAACGGCGGCGACGACGACGACTACGACGTCGTTGAAGAGGGAGGCGGAGGAGAAGGGGGAGAAGAAGGAGGAGAAGCGGGAGGAGGAGATGGAGGAGATGGAGGAGGACGAGGAAGAGGAGGAAGAGGCGATGGAAGAGGTCGAGGAGGAGGAGGAGGAGGATGAGGAGGAGGAGGAGGAGGAGGAGGAGGAGGATGAGGAGGTGAACGCGGCGCTGCGGAATCAGGAAGGTGAGCACGGTCCCGATGATCCCTCCCGTGCCCCGAGCTCGGTCGACAGCCGTCCGACGACAGGCGACGACCTCTCCCACGACTCCTCGACCACCACCAACACCACCACCAACACTTTGCGTCAACTCGAGTCCTTGTCGCAGGGTCGCGCGGCGATGGTGCAGCGGTACGCCGACGGGGGGACGACGACGACGACGACAACGACGACGACGACGACGACGACGACGACGACGCAGGAGGAGGAGGCGGCGGCGGCGGCGGCGGCGGCGGCGGGTTCGAGGTCTGGCCGCGGCTCTACCAGCCCCGTCACCCTCACCACGACGCCTCACCAGGAGACCACCATGGACAATTCCTCACGTGGCTCTCGTTCATCCAGCGCCTCACCCTCCACAGCGGCCATGGATACGGACAATAGCCTTATCACGTATGCCCGTTACGAGGACGGGGGGTTCGTGAGCACCCAGGAGGTGCCCCTCGACAGGGATAACCCGAGGCGGTGCACGGCTTGCGGCAAAGTGTTTCAAAACCACTTCGGGGTGAAGACCCACTATCAGAACGTCCATCTGAAGCTGATGCACAGGTGCAGCGTGGACGGTTGCAACGCGGCATTCCCGTCGAAGAGATCGCGCGACAGGCACTCGGCCAACCTCAACCTCCACAGGAAATTATTGTCCACGTCGTCGGACAGCCCGCCGCCCCTCCCCCCCTCCACCCTGCCGCCGAGCTTGTCCCCGAGGAGCGCAGCCGGGGACGAAACCCAGATGATCGGCCCCCCTTCGCCCTTCCTCCGCAACGAGTTCCTCGCGAGACTGTACGCGGACGCGGGGTTAGGATGCGCCCTCGGCGCGGCCTATCCCCTCACGCCCGCGCCCCCCTTGCCCCCCCCTGTCGACCTCGCCGCCAGGATACCACCCCCCCACCCCCTTCTACTGCCGCCTCACTTGGGGGCCACCTTCTCCGGTCACCTGTCCACGTTCGCCACCCATTTGGCAGGCCTCAACGGCCTAGCCCATCGACGCTTCAACCACTTCGCCGCCATGCCCCGCAACGATCAAGGGGAAGGAGGGGGGAGCAGGAACGCACGTTCGGGGACGGATCGTCGGGGGTCGCCTTGCGGCGAGGATCGGAAAGGGGAGGAGGCGAGGTGCACTGTACCCGGTTGCGACCGGGTGTTCGCCTCGAGGGCTGTGAGGGACGCCCATTCCAAGGACCCGCAGGCCCATCGCGACTTGTCGTCCTTACTGTACTCGACCAGCGGCGGCGGCGGCGGCGGCGGCGGCGGCGGCTCGTGACCGATCTCCTCCCGCGGCTATTATCCACTGCTGTGATGCCAAAAATATATCCGATCGATATATGGCTCGCCAACCCTCCTCCATCGCGCGCTTTTGTTTTTTTTTTTTTTTTTTTTTTTTTCCTGCCGGAAAAAGAAGAAAGAAACGTGCAATATCGGGGATGGGATTGTTTCCACCTTTTCGTTCCAACCTTTCGAGATCTTCCGCCGTTCCTGGACGCGGGTTCCGTGGTTCTTTTTCTCACCCCCCTCGTAAGGGAAGGAACAAGGACCCAGGTGATTCGAATCGACCGAAATGAATCTTGCCGGTGGCGATATCTCTCTCTGTCTCTCTCTGTCTCTCCCCCTCTCTTAAGGGTGAAAAATCACCCGGAGGGCGGGCCACTGGACGCGTTCCAATCCCGGTTTTCGGAGTCAGTTTTTTTTTTTTTTTTTTCTTCAAACGGAAGGTGCTTGCAATCTCTAGTCAATTCGGAAATCCTCGGCCATTTCCGCTGGAAATTCGACCATAGGACCATCGCGCGTGGAGATCGGTTTGGTTGGATTGGAATCCAAAAAAAAAAAAAAAAAAGAAAAAAGAAAGAAAAGATTTCCCATTCCCCGATTCTCGTGTCACGGAAAATTTCGAAAAGGAAAGAAAAACTGGTCGACCGTAGAAGAATCTATCTGTTTCGTTTAATTGTTTGTTTCTTTTCTTCTTTTTTTTTTTACACTCGAAGAGGCGGCGATAGATAGGGGGACGATGGATGAGAAAAGAATGATGTGCGAGATTGGGATGTGAAAAGAGAGAAAAAAAGAAAAAAAAAAAAAGTGGAAAGATCGAACGCGCCCTCGTTTCGGTCTTCCGGGCTGATTTTATCATCGTTGTGATAAAACGTAACGTTTAGTATAAATATGCCACTTATTTAATCAGTAATCAATTACTACCGCTGTATATAATAAACATAGTACCTTTTTTCGATGTATCGCGTTATTAATCAATTTTAAGCTACTTCGACGCGAAACGCGAGGCTACTCGCTGGGGGGGGGGGAGAGGAGAGGAGAGGACGAGTAGTTTTGTAACCCGATGAATCCGGGATATCGAGCCGACGACCGAAATGAAAAAAAAAAATTAAGCGCGAGTACGATGATGATGATGATGATGATGATGATGATGATGATAATGATGATGATTATAACGATAATGACGATGATAATTACGACGATGACGATGATAATGATGATCAGCCTTTCCAGATGGCGGGCTATTCGCTCGCGCGTTCACTCTACCTACGCCATATTGGAATTTATACGATTCTTAATTCTCGAATCCATCGTTGTTGCAAATTTTTCTCTGATATTTGTATATATACTCGATCGCAACGTTTTCACCTCGTGCATTTTCACAATTTGTGCGGCGAAATTGGTACGTGAGAATTGGCTTCGTTTTCAAAAGGAAAGAAAAAAAAAAATCGATTAATCGGAAATTATTTTTCAAGTATATCCGAAGAGACGAAAAGGAAGATGAATTTATTCGGATTCGAAAAGTTCGTCGCGGCTGGCACCGAATCAAACCATTGAATCGAAGCTGATTGCCGTCGTCTCGCGCCAAGATGAACGAGAGAATAGGTAGATTTTTTTTTTTTTATTTATTGTTTCCTTAGAGATCCGTACGCAGCGCTGCGATCAGCGGCCAGTAGCGGGCACTGCCGCGAAGATTTCTTCTTCTTCTTCTTCTTCTTCGTATCATCGAACGATCGTTTGTCGTTTCGATCGTTCGCACAGAAATGGAGAATGAGTGAGAAAAATAAGGGAAGGAAAGGGAGGAAGGGGAATGAAAAGAATTTGTCAACGATCCTCGAACGACGATCGATCCATCTTTTTTCCTTTCGGTTGTACATATGTCTTATATACCTTGTTTTCGTAGTCTGTGCACGCGTGATGAGGGGGGAAAAAAAAAAAAAAAAAAGAAAAAAAAGAAAAAAGAAAAAACATCGCGCAACACAGAATTTAAGAATTTGCGTGCGAATCGACGACAACGACGACGACGACGACGACGACGACGACGAAGCGGAAGAAGCATGGTGGATGGCCGGAAACAGGTTCTTTTTCTACGCGCCTGCGCCTAACGATTTTTTCGTCACGTTTCTCGGGCCAGAGATAATAGGACGGCGAGTATGAGAGAAATGAAAAAAAAAAAAAAAAAAAAAGAAAAAAAAAGGAGATGAAAATGATGGCGACACGAACTCTTATTAACTAATTACACACGAAGCGTAAAGGGCGAAATTTACAATTGTAATTATGTATAAACGGAATGCTATGATGTATGATATTATAGATCGATTATAAAGAACACTCATCATTATGAAAATAAATACCTATCGAAATCATTCGAGACTGCGTCTTATACGTTACACCCTGACACCTGCTCCGATACGATTTAATGGATCTGGTTCAATAAATAGGGGATCAATCGAGGTCGATACGTTGCAGCGATTATTACATACGCATCGAATGTTACGTTACCAACGTTTCCTTCGTCTCTGTAACAACAGTTCGGAAATTTGTTGAATCTTCTATTATACCAAGTTGTAACCAAGTGTTGTACAAAAGTTGTTACTTTGATTCTCGCTGGATTGGAAGTTAAATAATTTAATAAAATTGGAATTTCTTTATATTCTAATTTAGTTACGGTTTAGCAATATTTAAATATTATTTACGCGTCGATAATTCGGAATTTTATCCAAATTTTCGATTCTGATGAAATCTTGATCACGTGACTCGCCATTAAACCAACTTCCATCGAATCGAAGTAAAAAAAATTCGCATTCATCAATCATCATGAAAATCGATGGCAATCGTTGACAAATTATCGAGCGATCCGACAAAAAATGACGGTTAAGGGGCGATGATCGTAGCGAGCAGCACCGGTCGTTAAACACGAAAAACTCCGCGCGAGACGGGCCCGCGCAAAGGCGAAGAAAAACGAAAAACCGGCGGAGGACCCCGCCTACGACCTCGAACGCTCGACCTCGTTTTCTGCGAAAGAAATCCTCTTCTGAGACGAGGGACGCCGGCTCGTTTATCAGGGATCTCGCGGGCGTGCACGCGCACGCCTACCAATCCTCGTGCCCGCGTACCAACCAGCAAGAACAAGAAATAAAGGAACGAGTGAAGCGCGCGTGGAAGGAGAACCGAAAAGGTGGAAGGTTGCTCGAAACCTCTTCTGTCTTCGATTGGGGATCTTGAGCAGTAATATCAGAGAGAAACGAAACAGGAATGTCATTGAAAGTGTTATATACTGGGTAGGTATTCTCCCGTTTTTATATTTCCATTGAAAGAGTTTGAAATAAGAGTTTTCAATTCAATAATGGATTATTTCACGTGTATTTATATCGTTATACTGCAAGTTTTGGAATTCTAAACTTTACATATATAGTATTACTGAAATCAGAAATTGAGTATGTGTTTTTAGAGGTTAGAAGTGTCTTGGTTACATGACACTTCACATAAATAGGTATTCTCTTGTTTTTATATTTCCATTGAGAGATTTTGAAATCGAGTTTTCAATTGGATCATGGATCATTATTTACATTTTAAGCAAGTTTAAAATTCTAAACTTCAAATGTATAATTATTAATATTGTTAATATTATTGAAATCAGAAATTGAATAATATCATTGGAGATTAGAAGTGTCCTGATTATATATATTCTTTAGTTTTTATATTTTCATTAAAAGATTTTGAAATTAAATTTTCAATTGGATCATGGATTATTTACATTGCAAGTTTGGGAATTTTAAACTTTATATATATAGTATTACTGAAATCAGAAATTGAGTAATATCATTGGAGGTAGGTTTTTATATTTCTATTTTGAATTTTTAATTGTATTATGGATTTAGCATGCTTATATCGTTATATTGCAAGTTTTATTATTATTTATTAGTTAGAAATTGATTAAAAGGAGGTAAAAGTGTTCTAGTTATATTAGATAGATATTCTCTTGTTTTTACATTTCTTAACATTCTAAACTTTAAATATATAGTATTGAAATCAAAAATTGAGTAATATATAGTATTACTAGTATTAAATTCTAAACTTTATATGTATAGTACTGAAATCAAAAATTGAATAATATCATTGGAGGTTAAAAGTGTTCTGCTTATATATTAGGTAGGTATTCTCTAGTTTTTATATTTCCATTGAAAGATTTTCAAATTTTCAATTGGATCATTTACATTGCAAGTTTAAAATTCTAAACTTCACATGTATTACTAAAATCAGAAATTTAGTAATTAGAGGTTAGAAGTGTTCTGCTTATATATTAGATAGGTATTCTCTAGTTTTTATATTTACATTGCAAGTTTAAAATTCTAAACTTCAAACGTATTAAATCAAAAATTGAATAATACCATTGTAGGTAGATATTCTCTCGTTTTTATATTTCCATTGAAAGAAATTTGAATTTTGAATTGCATCATGGATTATTTAACGTGCTTGGTTATATTGCAAATTTTGGAATTCTAAACATCACACATGTATTACCGAAATCAGAAATTGAATTGAACGTCGGATGATTGAATTACATTGTAATCAAGTTATTTGTAAAATTTAGAATTCTGATTATTATTATGTTATTAGAAGATATTTACCGAGATGAAAGGGTTGACGTTGACGTTCATGAAGGTGATGGAAAAAGAGGTGATGGGACGCGGTTAATTGCGGAATATGGAGGGGAGACGATTTCGATATGGCTGGGCCTCACGAAACTCATCGCCGGCCTTTAATCGGCCAGACAGATTAGATTAGCACCTTCGATTCCCCTTAACGTACGACCTACCTGCTTAATAAGGGGTACATGCGAAATCCAATCCTCCTCGAGAGAGAGAGGAAGATGAGACCTGATTAGAAGTCAGCGCGAATGCATATTATAGTCACTTCGTTTGGGCAAAGGTTAAAAGGAATTCTTCTCCTTCATCTCAAATTGAACAATCCTTTAACAAATTTTCCAAATATTTTAACATTCCAAGATTGATTATCGTTTCCATATACATTTATAAATAAACAATAAAATTGTAAAATCATCATATCATCATATTATATAATTTATTTTTTTTCATTTTTTTAAAATTAGATCCTGACCTCGCATCCAGAATTAATTCAAAATTACCATTCCAAATTTCCAAAATCCAAGTCACGTACACTTTTGCACGAAGGACACGAGGAAGCTGGAAAATCCAAAGGCCAACAACGATCGTAAAAACAAAAGATTGGAAAGATGGCGAGATAAATGGCTTCGAGTACCCTCTTCGAGGCGGCGCACGACAGGTGTAGCGTGGGAGAGAAGCGAGGAGGGTTGCCTGGAAGGGTTGAGAGAGACGAACGAGGGAGGAGGAGGGAAAGAAAAGAGAAAATCCGATCTTCGCCGGAAGCTATGGATGGATCTTGCTTCCGGATTCGACGTTTCCTTTTCTGGAAAGTATCAAAAGAAGTGCAACAGATTTGATGTATTGTATTTTTACTTGTACAAGTATATATGTATATATATTATTCGTGTCAAAGAGTAAATAGGCAAAAATTTTTTCACACAATGAATATATATGTTTGAATAGTGAAGAAAGAATATAATTAAAATAATTTCGTTGTGAAATTAGTTAAATTATTATATTTGTACAAAAGTTAATTATATTCGTGGCTAATTGAATTTTGAAAGATTTTAAGAATATGAAAAAAAGTGTCGATCGAGACTCAATTTTTTAATGTGTATATTTATATATATATTTATCGATTAAAAGATGAATTCCAATTGAATCAAACTTTGTGAGTGATTACCCTCTCTTGGAATATTGTTACGAAGGGATGAAAGTAAGGAAAATTTCCTCCTTTCAGAAATTTTTCCATATAACATTCTGTTTAATTTTTAAAAACAATTATAATACGTTCACGATACATTTGCTCCTTTTATTTCAAACCTCGTACGAGGCAATCATCAGTCAGAGTATTCAGAGTGTCCAAGACAAATGTGCTCGTCGTTATTCATTTTTAATGGCCTGCTTTACGATCGAGAAATTTCTCACTCGAACGGTTAAAGGATCCTTATGGGGGCCCCATAAGCGCTGCGATAATTAAAATTGCAATTGGTTAAACGCGGCATTACCTTTATTCAAACTTGTGAAAATGTGAATTGGTTAACTTCGACCATGTACAATATTTACATCAACAACAATTCAATGAACCATTAACTTTGTTAATTTATCTTATATATAAAAGAAAAAAAAAAAAAAAAGAAAAAAAAAAAAAAGGAAGGAAAAA